CACGCGCACGCGCACGCGCACGCGCACGCGCACGCGCACGCGCACGCACACGCACACGCACACGCACACGCACACGCACACGCACACGCACACGCACACGCACACGCACACGCACACGCACACGCACACGCACACGCACACGCACACGCACACGCACACGCACACGCACACGCACACGCACACGCACGCGCACGCTCACGCGCACGCGCACGCGCACGCGCACGCGCACGCGCACGCGCACGCGCACGCGCACGCGCACGCACACCCACACACACACACACACACACACACACACACACACACACACACGCACACACACGCACACACACGCACACACACGCACACACACGCACACACGCACACACGCACACACACACACACCCACACACCCACACCCACACGCCCACGCCCACGCCCACCCGCACGCGCACCCGCGCACGCGCCCACCCACCCGCCCGCCCACCCACACACACACACACACACACGCACACCACGCACACCACGCACACCACGCACACCACGCACACCACACACCACGCACACACACACACACACCACACACCCCGCCCTACACACACACACACACGTCCGTCAAGGAATGTTTCGCGCGGGATCAAGCTCCTTTTGGCTGCCACGATACAACGTTTTGTTTTTTTGGTATAGAGCTCTTGTTTTTGTTGTTTTTTGCCAGGCTTCTTGGGTTTTCAGTGTTTCTTCGGGGTTTCTGTCTTGACTGTCTGTAGAGGACCTGCATGTTCATGCCCCAAGGATTGACGACACGCGGCCCAAAAGCTGGGATTGCGAGAAGGCGAAGGAGTGGAGAGCAGACGGTTTTTTCTTCTTCTTCTTTTTTGTTGAGTGTGTGTGTGTGTGTTGGTTGAAGCGGCGCTTGCCGCTGTTTGTTTGGCAACAACAAACTGGCAGAGATAGGAGGACCATGGAGGAGGAAAGTTGATTTGGGCCCAATCAAGTCTACTTGAACGAGGAGATTTTGGTTGAATCAAAAGTCCTTCCTCTTTCCCGCCCTTCCGTATCCCCCGTTGCTTCCAGTCTCCAACTCCTGTTTGTCATCAAGCTTCGAAGTGTATTTGTCTAGGCCCTTCGGAGGGAGTAATTTGGTGTAAATGAGTGGCAAGCCTTTTGGTCGCAGTTTCTTCGGATCGTTCCCAGGAGCTGGTGCGAGCTATGGTGATCATATGTGAGCCGCACTTAAAGGAAAGAGCTCAGGATTGGATCAGGTCCGAAGCTGAGTCGCACGTGGATCTTTGGTCTCCTTTGTTTTGTGACTTCCCATTTTGGCAAGTGGATCTTTTGTTGCTTGCCCCCTGTTTTTCTTGGCTCCTGTTTTGGTTGGGTTCCCGCAAAACAGGTGCTGCGATGTTTTCTTCTCTGGCCACTGTAAGGAGTTTTCGCTTCGAAAGGTTTTGCACCTTCGGGTGGCCACCGCAAGTGAACTGCCCTCATTGCTCAGGGAGCAATAACATCAGTTCACCAACGCCGGGGGTGGTCCTTCAAATAGAAATATAGAATAATATATATATATATATGTACATATATATATATATATACACATATTTATATGTAAATCTAGATAAACATATATTTATGCACACTTGAAGGTACACGATCCGCCTTGGTTTAGAAGGACACCCAAGGACAAGGCCGTCTTTGGGGTCGAGGGTCCACCATTTTGGCACATATCCATATACCTCAAGTGACATTCTCAGATTTGCGAGAATTGGCCAATCGTGGTGAGGGACAGCGGGTCTGAAATTTGTAGGTTTGACAAATGAGCATGTTCACTCAAGGGACCCAACACATACCATGGTCCCCGCAAGCTGCAGCTTGATGCTGAACTGGCCCCATGGTGGCGAAAGGACCCCCCGGGCGATATGGAGCTTTGTCGGTCTCAGTTTGTAAAGAATGGCCAGAGCTTCTGACCACTTTTGTCTGGCCTCTTTTCTCGACTCCCCATTGCCCTTGTTGAAGAGCAAGTGTTGCAGAGATATGCCAAGACAAGCCAGGGTAAAGGGAGTCAAGGGTCGGACGTTCATTTTCTCAGTTGTCCAAAGCGAATCGACAAAAAAAAGGAAAACAACAACCTAAACTTCAGGTTTTCTAATGTTTTCCGAAAGGCGATCACCTTGTATTTCCAGGTCCTTTGGGCGAGTGAGGTTTGGACGAGATCTTGGGAACATCACTGTCAAGCCCGTTCCCTGCGTCCTTGGCCAACTATTGGCCAATGGCCAACGCCCCGGCTCGCTCAAAGATGGCCTTGCGAGCGCCGGCGGCGTGGCGAGCATGTGGCGCCAAAAGAGACCTGGGGGGAGGAAGGCGATTCCCCATTCTTTTCAACCATCGCTCTTTTCAAGAGATCGGCTGTTTTTCCTGGATTTCCGGAGGTTTTCTAGAATACTGGATTTATGGAGAGAATGGGGAAACCCCGACAAATACAGTAAGCCCGAGTATCCGTGGCCGTACATCCTCACACCAAACTGAGCAACCCGCAACTTTCCCCGTCGGAAGCTTCCGAAGGCGCCCACCCGAAGGCGCCCCAAAGCCAGGAAATAAGATCCAGAGGTGTCGCTGTTGTTGGGTCCGTCTTTCTTGAGGTTTCCTTGGTTGTTTTGCTGGTTTTGCGGGGAAACCCAAGGAGGGAACAACCATAAAATCCACGGGTCTGTCTTTTTAGTTGTCCGGCGTTGAGGGGAAAACCAGGAGGGGAAAAAAGAAGCAGCACATCCGTGGGTCTAACCTTTGCACGCAAACAACACGCCGCCCCCAAAATGACGCGCCACGCCTGGGTCTACGGGGCTCACCGGGGGTTCCCCATGGCTCTCTAGGAACTCCTTCGGGCGGGTGAATCGGCGAACCCGAACCGAATCTGGTTTGCCCTTGTGGATTCAACGCAATCTCAGTTGCCCAAAGCCGACCTTTTAACCTTTTGGTTTTCCAGTTTTGATCCATTTTTAGTCATGGCCCCAAAAGGTTAACCTTTATTTCTGGGCCCTTTGGGCAAGTGAGCAATCGGAAAGCCTCCTTGCAAAGCGTCAACATCTTGATCCGGGCTTGGGTTCCTCCTTTTATCCCCCCCCGGCCCCGATTTCATAATTGAATTCACGTTGGCCAAGTAAATGTGACATCCCTCCACCTCAAAGGCGAGGGTGCACGGTCCCCAGTTCCCTTTTATTCGCACCCATGAAGCGCCTTTACAGTGTTTCTTTTTTGCGTTAGGTTTGGATTCCTCATCATCTACCCTCAAAGTTCCCTTGATAATGAGTCATGGCCCCAAAATTATGGTTGAAAATCCTTTTTTTAATGTTTAGGTCGAAGCAGATGTTTCCTTCCCAGACAAAGGTCGCAGGACCGCTTGGCGTGGCTTCGCTTTAGGCGCCCCTCTCTGCGCTGCTGGTTCGCGTGCGAGAGCTCCTGGTCTGGAAGCCCAGTGAACGGCCCGAAAGACCGGCCATTTCTCAGCAAAGCTTCCCTGGGTTTGTGAGCATTATTCGCATAGTGCGTCCCAGTGGCTCAAATGGCCAGGCTTTTCTTGGGATGTGCAAAGCTTCCAACTGCTTACTTGGTCACTATTGGTATAATTCGAACCTAAGACAACATGGAACCTTTTTCAGGGACCCCGGTTTGGACAATACCAGGGGCCCTCTTGGTTTCATGCTCTATGAACGGCCATGTTCCTGTTCAAGCGACCTGGTGGGTTTAGATGGCTACTCTGCAAGAAGAAGGGACTCCCACTAGGTCCCCCGGCTAGGTGCCCTTTGTCACCCTTTTTTGGGGGAGGGTTTTCCTACTAAAATAGACAGACAAAAAGTTGGTACCCCTCATTCTAACCTCTCAAATCTGGAGAACCTAGCCCAGGTGATGTGAAACACAATTTATATGTGTTTGTTTCTTTTCGCAAGTTCCATGGGGTCGGTTCACTTGAAATCCAAATCTCCAACCAAAAGGCTTCCTGCCTTTTCGCTCCGTACCGGGGAAGGAGAGAAGCTTCAAATCTGCAGGATGTAATTTCCTTGGAGCCCGGGGAATTTGCATAGAGACCAACAAGCACAGACAATAGCTCCCTTGCCATATTCCGTGTTTTGTTATTTTTCCTCGTCTTCTCCATTCCTCCTTGGTCATGGCGCGGGGTTCCAATCATTCTGAAGGCCTCAGTATTTAGCAGGCTGAAACAAACTGGGCCGATCTTAAGGCAGTCAAAATAGTCATTTGTTTTGTTTTTTATGTTTCTCGTTTGAAGGTGTTGCGCCAAAGGTATTTTCAAGGTTCACTTAGGTGTCTTGGATTTCTACCCAGAGGCTCGCGATTGATTTAGGGCCTTCAAAGAACCGGGTTTTGAGACCGGGTGCCAACCAGCAATTCCCGGGGTGTCTAATGGCGCCGGGGTGTCCATTGAAAGCCCCAGGAGCCATGGGAAGCTGGCCAGCAACATGTCTCGGTTTTTTTTCTCCCACATACCGGCCATGGGCAGCTTAAAGAAGACACACAGGCTGTGGCACAGGCTTTGGGTTAAAACCAATGGGATCCCAGTTTGGTTGGTAGGTGCATCATCCATTTTAGAACCTATGTTGGTGGGGATTGGGATGTTCACTGGGGGAGCGGGATTTTGACTCATGGCCATTGGTGTTTTGAGTACTTGCTTCAGCGGCCCGGAGGCAAACATGTCCCGGATGTTTGCTTTCAAGAAGCCGGGCAGAAGTTGTTCGTGTCTTTTGGCCCTTTCAACGCAGCGCCCGCCCGAGGCGCAGTTTGAAGAGCATCCTTCGCTTGTTGCCATTGAAGGCCAGTCTCCGGGCGATCGAGCTTCGGGCTACGTGCTAGGGGGACGTTCAAGCGACGGAGTCATGGGAATCCCAACTTTCGTATTAGAGGAAGGCGTTTTGTTGACTTGGTGCAGGGTGGTGCAGAACTCAGGGGCATCTGAGTCCATCCACGGAAGACCCTCGACCTGCCATGTGAGTGCCAGCTGGTTTGCCAGTTTGCAGGTGGGGAGAGAGGGACATTCTTGAACATGTGCACCTCATACGCGCGGAAACTTGCGGAAAGGGTATCTTTCGTGGAAGGTCCGCGGAAGCTTTGCTTCTTGCTACTAAACTTGCTTTCCTTTCTGCGCCAATACTCCTGTGGAACGGCGTGGAAGCAAACGATGAACAACTGGTAGTTACCGCGGAAGCCCGCAGCAGGACCGCTGGGCCGCGAGCGATATGCGGAAGCGTTCGCGAAAGCTTGCATCTAGGTCCCCCAGTAGTGCCCTTTCTCACCCCTTTTTGGTTGAGAGGGTTCCCCTACTAAAATAGACAGAGGAAATTGGGTACCCTTATTCTAACCTCTCATAATCTGGAGGAGGCAGAGTGTCCAATCAAGTGTAAGCCAAAAATGAATCAACACCTCTCCGAGTCCAAAGTTTCCAAAGGGATTCCCTTTGGGGATGGCATGGGCAACCGAAAAACATCCCATGTTAGGCGGGCCATACTTTGGGACCTGGCACCTAGGAAACGGTTTGGATGCGGCTTTTGTGGATCCACACCTGGATAGTAAAAGAGTACTATAAAAGAGTACACAAAAAGAAGTTTTCGAGGGGGAAGAACAGGTGAAATCCACAAAGAGCACATCCAAACCGTTTTCTAGACATCTGGCGACAAACGGTTTGTGACGCAGGCCTTGCGGAGAAGATGGTGGGCCTGAACCTCCTTCGGCAGGGAGCCCAGAGGCCCTCTGATAAAAGCGAGCCGAAGCCAAAGGGTTGTCTTCTTTGTGAGAGCCTCTACCATCCCCTCCCCTTAACTAGTGGAATTGGGGGGGGGGGGTGGAATTCCATTTTCCAATTCCATTTCTCAGGTTGCTTCAAAAGGAAACACGAAGAGGAAGACTACTCTTTGTATGTCGGGTGTTTTCCCATTTTGCCACAAATACATTTGGCTGTGGCTCCAAAAACCGGAATTCCAAAATGGGTTGCCCGATCGGCAAGTGGAAACATGGAAACCAAAACCTGCGGTTTGATCTCCCCTCCGATCGGTTCATTTTGAGCCACAAATAAATTGGTCGCAGAGATGGAACGGTCAATAGTGCCTTCCCTTGGGCCACGGGTTGTGAACAAAGACCAGCTGATTCAAACCGCTTGGGCGCCTGAAAAGGGCCACTTGCAGCATGGGACCCGACCCGTTTGGTGTCTCGTCCATTTCCAAGACAAAAGGTTCGGAGGAGACCTGCATTGGTGAAACACCACTGGTTGGTCCCCAATTTGGTTTTTTTTGACAGACCCAAGCAAACGGGAGCGAATATGTTCAGGGTTTGCCTGCCGCTGCAAGAGTTGTTCTAGCCAGCCAGCTCCTGTTTTGTTGGGCGTTTGAGGCAGCGGTCAGAGCAACCTACAGTATTTGGAGACCAACTAAGATGATACTGTGGATGGTTTTGAAATCCAATTCGCACCACGAAATGAACCCATTGTTGAAGCCAGAGCCTTTGTTGGTATTTACGTATAGGGGAATCGAACATGACAGGGTTTC